CCCCATACCAGACTCGTTCCTCTTTTTAGCCTACTTAGGCTCTGAATCGCGCGGCTGTGATTATTTGAGGTAGAATAGGTCTTGCCTTAGCTTTACTACGTCGGCGTACTTCTGCGACCCTGCTAGAAATTGTCGGCTACCGCCATTACTTTCAAACGCCGCAAGTGCATGGACTAAGGTTCAAAATAGTTTCAATCTTTCGGTCATAGGCTAGTCTGAATAAACTTTCGGCAAACGTCAGTCTCATCAAGTCCTTCAATTCAACGAAAGAGTCAGACAATGTCCGACGTTTAAAATCCCCGGCAAATACCCTTGTCAGGGTATTTGCCCCGACATTGCGAATGCTGGAGCACTAAGACAACAGTGTGCTAGGGAGTTATCTACTCCTGACACATGAAACAAACGAGCAGTCTTAATTTCGCTTGATGGACTAGGGAGCCTACACTCGTGCTCTCTCAAATGGAGTATGGCCCCTGCTGCCTCTCCCCAATCCATTCCTAGGACCATGTCGAAAGGAAGGCTGTCCTCTACGAGGAGAGTCGGGGAATGGAGAACTTTTTCCACCTTCCCATCCTTCTCTAGGCGGAAGTACGCCTGGACTCCCTCAACGTAATCCTCGACTCGCATAGTGCGATTGTCTGCGAGGATACTGACTACGGGGTCTTCTAACTTTTGGACCTTCAAATTTAACCTTAGCTTTTGCAGCGCTTTCCTGCTAATATAACTACGAGTGGCCCCACTATCTATCAAGGCGCCTACTCGTCCTCTAAAGACCTCTACATCTACTAGTACTAGCTGTCCTTTCGCACCTTTCTTCATCTTGGCCCAGACAGGCATTCTGTCCTTCAATTCCTCTGCCACGCCTGCGAGGGAAGTGCCTAGAGAGACTCTAACACAAGCGGTTTCTGGACAACTGCCTAGGCACTGGCCAGCAACCTTTGCCATAGACACGTGTGGTTTGGGAGTTTCTGTGTGGTGCGCGGACTCTTCTCCACATGGTCTAGGGGTAAGGGTAGCTGCAACCGGCGGTTGCCTTTTGCTTCCTGTGCAACAAACCAGGCCTCTTTGTGCTTAGGGCGGTATTTAATAATATGACCCGGATCACCGCAATAAATGCACTGATCCTGGTTTATCCTTTGCTGCCAAACTAAACTGTCTGCTCTAGGCTCAAATCTTCCCAGGGCCTGCCTTGCGGCAAGGTAGGGTGCCATCCACCCCTCCTGGGAGGTAACGGAGTAAAACAAGAGCGGTTTTGCGGGGGACCTTGACCCCTACCTCCCGCTTGGTGGTTTCCCTTGCCGCCAATCCCCTGATCGCTCTGTCCTCGACCATTGGAAGCCTGGCCCCCTTGGCCCCGGCCTCCTCCTCTACCTTGCGGCCTCCCTCCAGCCGCGATAGTAGAGTAAGTCCTCCCCTGACTATTGCCACTATCCTCTTCCTCTAGGCCCCATTGTATCTGGTCATAAGGGACCTCCTCCATACCACCCTCATCTAAGGTCAAAATAAAATGATCCTTGGCCTTAACTTGGCCCTTCCATTTCTTGCCCTTGTCCAAATCTTTGTGCCAGAAGGTGGTTGCTGGCATGGACTGAGCCTTAAATGCCACTACTTCCTTACTCAACATGTCGTAAGTCATAGTGGACTCCTTGCTTTTCTAAAAAAAAGTGCCCTCGCAGAGGCTCGGGCATGGCACGATAGAACAGTTGGACCAGCTGGGTCTCAGTGACCCCATGGCCAGGGGTCCAACTGGGTCTTAGTGACCCCATGGCCAGGGACAGCTACCAACTCATCCATTACTCCTTTGAGTGCCCTGACACTCTTCCATTGGTGAGAGTTGACAGTTTGGAGTTTGTCTGACGCTCTAATCCCTCGAGTAACGTCAGCAAATCTCTTACGTCGCAACTTGAAGAATTCGCTTAGGGGGGTGATCGGAGAGTAAGCCACCATATCGTTATTACACTTGGCTGCGTGGGCAAGTGACTGGGCGAAGCTCGCTGCTTCGTCCCTAAGAGTGTGCAAAGCGATTAAGACTTGCTCCTCAGGCAAGATCTTCTGGAGGTGAACATATGAATTAATGTTCGCCTCCCAGTTCACAAAGTTTTCTCCCTTTTTCCCACTATAGGAATCAGGGAACTAGACTTTGACCGGATCTCTATGGGGACGTACCTCTTCTTCCCTTGGAGCTACCAACTTGGCGCCCTCTATAGCCCCTGTACAGAATCGCTCTGTGCTCTCCATCCTGACTTTCACTTCAGTGCCCACGTGCATCATCATTTCTCGTGCAAACTCCCTGAACCCTACGCGTATGGACCGCAGAGCTACATCCTGGCCCCATGCAAACTGATGTTCCTGGCCATCACATCCATCTTCCCTTGCAGGTCCGCCTGCACTTCCATTTGCGCCCTTTGTTGTTTCACCACCTCCAATTCTTTCACAACCTTACTTGCCTCCATTCTCTTCTTCTTCTCCCTGGTCAAGCGCAACTTCCACTCCAACTTCTTCTCTTCATCTATATTATAGCGTTTTAAGGGGTCCTCGTCTGCTTCCCACTCTTTTACTACCGCCTCCTGTTCTGCCCTTGCTACATTGCCTCCTCGTCCTCTCCCATGGATAGATTAGCGACCCACTCATACACCTTCTTTTCCAACCATGGGTCCTCCTCCTTCTTCGTGCCACTGGACTCCCCTTCTCTCTTATGATCTTTCCGATCAGGGGAACTTCCACTTCTGCCTTTTTCTCTTCTTCTTCTTCTTCTACGTCCGCTGCTTTCAATTTCTCTTCCTCCTCCTTCAATCTTTCCAATTCCGCCTCCAACTTCTTCTTTTTCGCGGCCTGCTCCTCCAATAAGGTCAACTTCTTAGCCTGTTTTACCACCTCTTTCTTTTCCTTCCTGGCCTTCTGCTCAGCCAGAATCTTGGCGGCTTCTTCCTCCTACTCCTTCGTATAGGGAGTGGTACTACCACCACCCCTCGTGTCAACTCTACATGTGAAGGCGTTCCAGAAGCCCAGCGGAAAAAGAAGACGCCAAAGGCTCCCCCAGAGGGAGAACCCCACGAGCAAGTCGTACATAGGGTAGTCATCCGTGGTGTTAGGTGCACGACAAGGACTGTCCCACTCCTCACCACTTCGACCTACCCACTGACTATCTAACTGACCCTACTACAGGAACCCTGTCAACTATGGTCTCTAGCCTAGACCTAATACTACAACTGTCACTACAGGACTCAATGCTGATCAGTGGCATTTAAGGAGATCCCCCGCAACTCCTCAGGATTTGTTTAATGTCGCAAACAGGACGACGCGATCAGCAAGTCCTCTCAACACTTAGACAACTGGTTGTGCAGCCCACAACTCGGATTTTGGGCCTACCATGCCACACTAAGCAGCCCCCCGGTCTGTACCGGTCCTTGGGAGGGTTTGTCCTCCGGGTCAGTCAGTCATCAAACACGGCCTTTAGCCCATGTGGGTTTGGTCAACACAGCTCTACGACCGCATACACAGAGTTCCTATCACCTGGACAGAAGAGACTCAATGCAGAAAGAAGAGACAGACAAAATCAGCAAGTACCATGGGGTGAGTGCACATCCATTGGGCGAGAGGATAGGCTGAAGGCTTGGCGAGAATATACCGACTCCAGCTTGGTCAATTTCGTGGTCAACAGCTCCTGTCAACGCTTTGGTCAACTCTTGGTCAACGCTGGTCAACCCCTCAGTCAACACTCTGGTCCACCTCGGTCAACGCCTCGGTCAACCCTGGTCAATGCCACGGTCAACCCTGGTCAACGCCTTGGTCAACACTTCGGTCAACTCCGGTCGACTTCCCGGTCAACACATTGGTCAACGCTCAACTCGGCTATGGCTGCCGACCCCTTCCTTTCTCACCAGCCTCCGATACTCTTCTTTTTCCTCCTTCCTTCTTTCTTCCTTCACCTCGGCTATGGCTTCCTTCTCCTTCGTAGTCCCTCCTTCCTCTTCCTCGGCTATGGCTTCTCTCTCCTCCTTCGTCTCTCCTTTCTTCTTCACCAGGTCTTCTTTCTCCTTCGTT